GCTATTCGGTGCGTCGGTGGTCACAGTTGTGTCAACCCATCTTCAAAGCCATGGAACATGGGATGGGAGAGCTTACAGTGGACAGATATCAAAAATCTCCATCATGGAACAGCATCCCGCGCCTGGAAGAACATACTGAAGACAGGGATCATTCCTGGATATGTTGAACCACATTCTCAGAGAGACAGAACTTACAAACCATCGCAGCGATCTGAGGCATTCTTCAGTTCTAGCACATATTTGAACAACGTTCAAAAGAACCCACATACTTCAGTGGAATCGTACAAGTTCAACAGCTACAAGAACGAAGTCGAGCTGGTGATCAACATGGGGATCGCCACAAAAGCAGGTTGCAGATTTTGGTTGGGTGCTCAGGGCGCTATCATGACTGAGGACGTGGTACCCGCTGCGGCAATTATTGCAATTCGCCGCCTCAAACCACACACATGCATGGCCAGCAGCTGTGGCCAGACGGCGACCCATGGGACTACCCGCCATTGGCAGCCAGAGAGCCATTGAGCAAGTACGAGATTTGCGCCTGCCTTCCTGGAGAACTAATTGACGACCCACCTGGATTGGCACCTATCGACCCCGACCAAGACATGGAGCCTCCAAGGATGACGCCAGCATCAGCACCCTCGGCCAGGCCGGGGGGAACCCCTGCTGGCCGTACATCCGCAGAGGACGCCTTGGACGAGCAAATGGTACGTGCTATGATTCAGGAGACCAATCACAAAGCAGATGATAAAGAATGGTTGATTGCATTATCACATTGTCGTGAAGCTCTTCGACCAATCACAGCAAAGATCATGCAAAAAGATTTGGATCGTCGTCCTGCATTTAACGATGTTCGAATGGGCGACTTCATTGTCATTAAGAATTGGGGTTCTACCAAATGCTTCCACTACGACAACCATTGGCCCAAAGGCAATCACAATACCCAGATTGCCTTGTCCAAGGGACACATATATGGTCCAATCATCCATTTCGGCATCTTCGACAAGTTCTTTGCGGTACAAGTACCTATTCTCAACTACGGTTTACGATGGGTAAATATCTGGTATAATGACAAAAGCATGCCCCTCAAGGGCGTTGTATTTGCATTGCCGATTCGTATCGAAGAACACGCCATCGATCCAACATGGATGGAGACTGCCCTGAAAGGCCCGACATCTTGCAGCGAGGAGATACTGCAGCACAAGGTTAGCGGTAGCTTACCATACCTTGGAATGCCTAGCATACATAGACCACGTATTCCGCGTACACCACCAAGAAGGCCCGCTCCACGGACACCTGATCCAGACGAGCTGGTGGCCACACCTGCCGAGGACAACGCTCAGACGGGCGACATTCCTCGACAGGGTACAGCATTATCGCATGATCCAGTGATCACCGTAATCGTGGACATATCAAATATCGTTCTTACTGCAGATGAGAAAGCTGCGAACGACAACATGAGGGCAGACCTCTCGGCAGACATCCAAGCAGAAGAGCAGATCGAGGCAAGCATCCTCGATAACATCATTGATCCGCCATCGAATTTCCTTGATCATCCAGACTACGACCCCGATGAGGATTCAAGATGGATTAGACAGTCTGATGATTGCCGCGTGTATTGTTGGACATCGGCGCTATTGGTGGATTCGCCTATGATCAAGATGAGGCAGATCATTGAGATACACAGTGGCGCAGACAGAATCGCAATGGACAACATTCAGTCACATTTACAATTTGAAATTCGATTTGGATCGAAAGCATGGAACGCGGAGTCATATCATTTGAACTACAATCATACCCACAAGTGGGCGCATGACTTACCCAATTGTGGTGCAGATCACTTCTTCAAAAAGTTGGTGCACTACCTCGACCCAGAGACTATCGAGGAGTCGACCACTGGCATCTTTCAATGGATTTCCAAAGTATACCAGAACATCTTGAAAGATAGCATTGTGGAGCTACCAGATTTCGCCAAGGAAGTCATCCATGACAACCATCCTGCACTTCAGGCATTGCGTGACCTATACAAAAATTGTACTGCGACATACGGTGATCCAGAGTTTCCCGCGTGGGAAGAGCTGGTGGAAACACCTGCTGCGCCTCGAGAGGAAGGCGCCGAGCAGGATATTCCCCAGGACCCAGGCAGTGTTGCGTCTGCAGCTCCCGATCAGGAGACTATGGTACGTATCATAGCCGAGCAGACGGGACTCAAGCGCGAGGAGGGCGACAACGAGGCCACCTTGCAGAAGCAGGCCCGCCGTCTTCGTGAGGAGAACGTATGCCATGGCGGTACTGAGGATACCGACAACGTCAAGATAGAGTACAAAGGACTGCCAGGGGAAAGGTTGTCTCGGATCGAGATCGAGGGTTTAAGCAGATCGATCGCTTCCAGACCAAACACCGAGATCAATCGTGAGGCGATCAATCATATCGGTCAGAGCCTCGCTCGCGGTCAGGACACCCGCTGGGGATCCCGCGATCACCTGACTTCGGCAGGGGCCCCCGAGACGATCTTGCATCCCATACCGCTCTGTAACAATTGCGGTCGAGATCTGTCCCTCGGTATCGTCACAGGTGACGGCGCACCCTGTGATATATGTTGGCAATACACTGTGGCCGTAGGCGCCACAGGTAAGAGCACCGCCACACAGAGTGACCTCGCGCACCTCCAGAAGTTGACGAACTGGATCAAGACGACGTTGTCCGAGGACCAGGTCGCGAGATACATGAAGGATGGCGCACATGTCATTATGACGGGTGCGCGATCCCCCATAGGCACAGAGAAAGATCAGTTGCGGAGATTGGCCAATACGTCCAAAAAGAGGTATCAGAAGTGGGTCGAAGCCGGTAGCCCGCCTGCACACGAGTGCAGATTAATGGGCGAATCCGAGGACGACCGACCTCTGTACTACCCATACGCCAATCTCATTCAACGCTTTCTCAACGACCTCAGATTCCATCATCAGATGACAGGAGCCCGCGTGAATGTCGGCAAGAAGCCCTGGAGAGTCGAGGACATGCGCGACGCGTGGGACATCCTCGACGTCAGTATTAGGACAGGACAGGCTGGTCGGAGAAAGTGGTGGCTGAACGAGGGACGCATTGACAGGCAGACGCGGCAGGCGCGCGGACTGATTACGGTTTCTCTCCCTCGAGGGGACGGAACCCGTGAACAGTTCACCAAGCGCAAGCTTGCCGCGATTGCCAACGAGCTGATAGGCTCCCTCGATCCGTCACACTCTGACCAGAGGGGGGGTAGTACAGGGATGAGAACCGATCCAGATACACACTCCCAACAGTCCGATGACGCCATGGAGCCGCGGCCGCCGCCGCGGCCGCCGCCGCGCCCTGCTCCTGGCGACGCCGCTGCATCCAGCGCCTCAGGCGCAGAGGACTACATGCCCGCGATGCCGCGCGCCAAGAGAGCACGTACATCTGATTACGCTGCTAACTGGCGCCACAATCTCGAGGACAGCGATTGGGGTCTTCGATATTGGAGTTACTACATCAAATGTTGGATCTACATTGCAAGCAACAACGACGAGTATGTGTACATCCAGGATATCACGTACAACGATTGGTTCCGCAACTGGATCCCGAGGACCACTTGGGAAACGTTTACGACAAGCTATGTGACGTACAACGGCCAGAGGGTGTGGGACCGCAGGTTCTACAAGGACGGCGACGCGTAGTGAGTCGGCCGCAAGGCCCACTGCTCAAGTGCAGAACTTCCGTTCATCAAAGTTCGCCTTGAGCGGTGGCTAATACATTCTTTTAGGCCACTTCAATCTTTCACACAAGTGGCCACATACACATATAGATATCTTTTGCGATCACCGAGGCAGCCTCCTAAGGAGCAACGCCAACGGGAGTCGCCAAACAGATTTTATACATCATTTCGTGTTCATCAACACGACATTTTCTTCTGGCCAGGTACTTGCTTTAACACAGATTTGCATTTCTTTCAGGATCGTGTTCGTCAACACGATCTGGGCATACATTTGCTTTTAGGCAGCCTTGTGTTTGATGTCAAGATTGTGCTCATCAACGCGATCTTAGCATGCATATTTTAACAATTTAACAATATTGCGTCGAGAATAATCTGATGGCTGGTGGCAACACCTGCCTCGCAAATCTTGCGAGGCGGTTTACGTTGCCTTGATGCTCAGATCTTCTTTCTCCGCCTACCTTTGTCTCATTCTTCTCCTCCCTCGAGTGCCGAAGCGTTTTGGGGGGCGCACCGAGGGGGCGGCAAAGACCGCCTGGAGAAGAAAAAGAGACCCAAAGTATCTCTTCTTACCTCACTTTGCAGCTGTGGCTTCGCTGACTTTTAGCCCAGCTGCCTTTTCAGACTTAAGGTAAAGGAGTTCTGAGGTTACGGATTCCATCCTCCTGATCCCGAGTCCTGCCTTCACGGGCGGGATTCGGGACGGGGTGTGTGTATGGAACCCGTGTAATACCCTCATATATACTCCTTATCATACCTCTCCCGCACCTGGCCGTTTGGGCTCAAACGGAGTTTTGCGATCTTTACCTTGATCGCTTGTGAAAGGAAAGATACCATCTATCCCTCCTCTCTCTACCAACGGATCAGGGTTCTGTATCTTGTACTTCAGATCAGCCCCCATACACAAAACATAAAACCCAACCAAAACAAAAAAAAACATACTTAAAACACCGACATAAAATATAAAAACCAAAAATAAATAATTATACCTTAATAAAAATAAATAATTCAGAACACAGCTCATAAACCTAACCAAAATAAAATAAAATAATAAAAATAATATAAATAATATATAAAAAAAATAATAAAAAAATAACCGAATAATTATACAACATAAATAAAAAAAAAAAAATATAATAAATAAATATATAAATATATAAATACTAACCACCCCAATATATGTAATAATACATACCCATATATATATATAAATACATATAATAAATATTAAATATATAAATAAAAAAAACCCGCTGGGGCAGAGCGGCAGCCCCCAGGCTACCACGGCCACCTGCGGATGTTCCTGATGTTCAACGTGGGCGTGCTGGGCGGTGCTCTGTGCTTCCTCGTGAACGACCCGCACAGCCGAGTGGTGGGCGGAGGGCGAGGCGGAGACGCAGGACGAGGGCGAGGAGGACGAGGAGAGTAGAAGTAGTAGAATCGAAGAAGGAAACACGCCATAAACCTAAACTTTCGGCGCTCCGTGCGGACTTCTTGGATCCGCGAAGGGCCCCCCCCCCCTCCGACGGTGTCTCCGGCGCCGCCCCTGGCGCGCTCCGCGCGCCGGGGAGGCGGGTCCAGCGCAGATCCAAGAAATCCGCGCGGAGCGGCAAAAGTTCCCCAATCAGAGCTTGCCTCTGTAAGGGGTCGTAGCTGATTCATATGGTTAGGTGAGGTTTGGCGCCGATTTCGGTGGCACGCCCGGGTACCCGGGAACCCGATAGCCTCAATAGCACTATAGCCCTATATCCCTTATAGCCCTATAGCCCTATAGCCTTATAGCCCCACTACAGCCCTATAGCCCTAAAACCGCATAGCCCTATAGCCTTATAGCCCTAAAGACCTAAAACAAATAGCCCTATAGCCCTATAGCCCTGTAGCCCTAAAGCCCTATAGCCCTATAGCCCCAGAGCCTTATAGCCCTGTAGCCTTATAGCCCCAAAGCCATATAGCCCTAAAAAGATTATGATTGGGTGGTTCTCCGATATCGTGTATGTTTGTACCGCTTTGTTTTTCTATTGAAGGAAGAGGATGACAAGGAGCGGGAGGGGAGAAGGTGGACGAGGACGAGGAGATGGAAGAGCGGGAGGAGGAGGATGAGGGGAGGAAGAGGAGGGCGAGGTGGGAGAAGGAGGAGGGGGGCGAACGCCAAGAGGGTGGAGGAGGAAGGGGAACGAGGAGGAACAGCAGCAGGGGGGAAGGATGCAGGAGTACGGGGCAAGACTCGATAAGCCCAAATTCCCCAAACGGCGCATGCACTACAACCCCCCGGGTCAAAAAGTGTGGACCGCAGAGTTCGCGCAAGAGGGTTCGCAACGTCCCCGTCAGGCCATGGGGCCCCAGTACAATGTTGCAGAGACCCGCCCTGGCGATTCTCCTGTGCTCCGATGCCAGCCCTCATGCTTCCTCATCCTCTTCCTTCCTTCCCTCCTCACTCCCTACTCCATCCCTCCGCTCCCCCGCTTCCCCCCATCTTATTCCTCTTCCTCCCTGATCCCTCCTTCCTCCGACCTCCGTCTTCTTTCATACACCCTTTTTTTTGTCGTTCCCTCATCCCTCCCCTTTCCTTGCGTCCCTCCGCCAGCCTCGTTCTTGGTGCCGCCTGGGGCCCAGGAGGCCCGCTCGCAGGTTGAAGGCGTTCCGTGCCACAGCTGGCGCGCGCAGGGTGTGTACCGCAACGCTGTTTGAGAGCCGATACAGAGCATGAGCCACGGTCATTTAAGCGGTCGGAATCCCCTCTCCCACGTGTGGTCCGATCCGCTCCAGGTCGTCCCTCGCACCACCCGTCCTCCTCCCTGCACCGTCCGCCCTCTCTCCTCCTCCCCATTCCCCCTCATGCCAACTCCCCATCTCCCCATTCCCCTCCCCTCCTCCTCCTCCTCCTCCTCCTCCTCCTCCTCCTCCTTTTCCTGCTCCTCCTCGTTATGTCCTCCTGCTCCTCCTCCTCCTCCTGCTCCTCCCCTCCTCCTCCTTCTCCTCCTTCTCCTCCTCCTCCTGCTCTTCCTCCTCCTCCTCCCCTTCCTCCTCCTCCTCCTCCCTCCTCCTCCTCCTGCTCCTCCTCCTCCTCCTCCTCCTCCTCCTTCCCATCCTCCGCCCGCAACGCTCCTAAAAAGGCCGACGATGACGAACGGCGACGACAGACGGCCGAGGGCAAACGACGGGATGACGAAGACGACGTCGACGGCGGCGGCAACGTCGACGTCGACGTCGACGACGACGACGACGACGACGATGACGACGACGGCGGCGGCGGCGGCGGTGGCGGCGGCGGCAGACGGCAGACGGCGAAGACGACGACGACAACGGTGGACGGTCGACGGACGAAAAACGAAGGACGACGGCCGACGGCCGACGGACGGCGACGCGGCCACCTGGGGCGACGAGGTGGGCATGTCCGGGGGGTGCTACGCGCTCCTCGGGATGCACTTGGGGGACATCGTGCTGAACTACAGGGAGAGGACTTCAGGGCTGCAGCCCCAGTGAGTCGTCCAGGGATAGCTCCTCCTCATCCCCCCCTTCATCCCTCCTCCCCTCCCTCTCCTCTTTCCCTCCTGCTCTTGACGCTGGCGCTGCAGGCATGGAAGTCGAGACCTTCGACCTTGCAATCCCCCCCCCACCCCCCCACCTCACCCCAGGGCGCGCTCGCCCCCAAGGGGTCTGATCAAATTGGTTCAGCTGTACGAGATAGATAAGAGACCGCGCGGAGCACATGGGACCCCCAAGGGGGCAGAGTAGCTATGTCCTCCGCTACCCTTGTGGGGGAGAGGGGGTGAAGGGGAACGATGAGACGGTGACGGCAGAGGAAGGAGGGGACTGAGAGAGGGGAGGCCAGCCTCCTCCTCTTCCTCCTCCTGCTCCTCCTTCTCCCCCTCCTGCTCCTCCTCCTCCTCCTCCTCCTCCTCCTCCTCCTCCTCCTACTCCTCCTCCTGCTCCTCCTCCTCCTCCTCCTCCTCCTCCTCCTCCTCCTCCTACTCCTGCGTCCTCCTCCCCCTCCTCGTCCTCCTCCCTCCTCCATACTCATCCTCCTCCCTCCTTATTGGGCTGATCGCCCTTCAATCCACATATATCGCAGCGTCAGGATGACAGTAAGAAGAAATTGGCATATAATGAGATCGGGGTTCGAGGATCGGGAATACAGGATCGGGCGGGTATCGGGGGGTTGAAGATTGGGGATCGAGGATCGGGGCTCGAGGATCGATGAACGAGCATCAGGGATCGGACATCGGGGATCGAGGGTCGATGATCGGGGATCGTGGGTTGAAGATCGACCGTCGGTGATCGGAAATGGAAGAGCGGGGATCGGGGATCGAGGATCGGGGATTGAACATCGAGGATCGGGGTTTGGGGACCGGGAATCTGGGATCGAGGATCTAGGATCGGGGATGGTCGGGGATCGAGGATCGGGGATCGATGATCGAGGATCGAGAATCGGGGATCGGGGATCGAGAATCGAGGATCGGGGATTGAAGATCGAAGTTCGAGGAAGGTGGTTTGAAGACCGAGGATCTGGGGTTCGGGGATCGATGGTCAGGGATTCAGGATCAGGGATTGAAGGTCGAGGTTCGGGGATCGAGGATCGGGGATCGAGGATTGAGGATCGAGGATCGGGGATCGAGGATCGGGGATCGAGGATCGGGGATTGGGGGTCGAGGACCGGGGATCGAGGATCGGGGAGCGGGGATCGGAGAGGGAAGATCGGGGATCGAGGATCGGGGACTGAAGAAGATCGGACTCCGGGGATCGAGGATCGGGGATCGGGGATCGGGGATCGAGGATCGGGCATTGGAGATCGAGGATCGAGGAATGCGGTTTGAAGATCGAGGTTCGATGAGCGGGGTTCGGGCATTGGAGATCGAGGATCGAGGAAGGTGGTTTGAAGATCGAGGTTCGCGGAGCGGGGATCGGGGATCGAGGATGGATGATCGAGGACTGAAGATTGAGGATCTGAGATGGAGGATTGAGGATCGGGGATTCAAGGTCGAGGTTCGGGGTTCGGTGATCGAGGATCGGGAATCGAGGATCGGGGACTGAGGATCCAGGATGGGGAAGTCGGGATCGAGGATCGGGGAACGTGGTTCGGGTATTGAATATCGAGGATCGAAGATTGGGGATCGCGGTTCGGGGATCGAAGATCGAGGATCGGGGATCAGGGGTCGGGGATCCAGCATCCAGGTTCGAGGATCGGGGATCGAGGATCGGGGTTCGGTCATCGAGGATCGGGGATTGAAGGTCAAGGTTCGGAGTTCGAGGATCGGGGATCGGGGATCGGGGATTCAAGATCGGGGATCGAGGATCGGGGATTGAAGATCAAAGATGGACGCTCGAGGATTGACGATCAAGGATCGGGATTCGGGAATCGGGGATCGGGGTCGGAAGGTCGAGAATCCGCGTTCGGGGGTCGAAGATCGAGGATCGGGGATTGGGGATCGAGGGTCGAGAAATCGAGGGTGCTGGTGCGGGGATCGAGGATCGAGGTTCGGGGATCGAGCATCTGGCTCTCAGCGAGCCATGGCGAAGAACGACCCGTCGCTAGCTCGCTGCAAGCAGGCCTGGTTTGGTCTTTCATCCAGCAGCTTCCTCCTCCTCCCCCCCTCCTCCTCCTTCTCCTCCTCCTCCTCCTCAACATCCTCATCATCATCATCATCATCATCATCATCAGCAGCATCATCAGCATCATCATCATCATCATCATCAACATCGTCAGCATCATCATCATCCCATTCCTCCTCCTCCTCCTCCTCCTCCTCCTCCTCCTCCTCCTCCTCCTCCCCCCATTCCTCGTCGTCCTCCGCCTCCTCCTCCTCCTCGTCCTCCTCTCCTCCTCCTCCTCCTCCTCCTCCTCCCTCCTCCTCCTCCTCCTCCTCCTGCTCTCCTCCTCCTCCTCCTCCCATTCCTCCTCCTCCTCCTCCTCCTCCTCCTCCTCCTCCTCCTCCTCCTCCCTCCTCCTCCGCCTCCTCCTCCTCCTCCTCCTCCAGGGGAGCACAAATTATGCCACCGAGGAACCCCACATACTTATATCATGGCTGGAGTGATGGTAGCTGAAGTGAAGCATGTGAGCATGCTGTCGGTGGCCGTTGCCCTGCCGATACCGTTGGTGATGCCAGTCAAGAGGAGATGAGGGAGGAGAGGGGAGAGGAGATAAGATAGCTGTTGTGCAATAGGCACGGAAAGCGATCTGCGGCGCCCACGAGGCAACGAGCACTATGGAACGCGATCTTCGGCGGAACGCCGCCGATCAGATCTGGGAGAAAGGAAGATGCGAAGGAACGCGACCTTCGGCGAAAAGCCCCCGGCAGCGTCCAAGGACGCTGTCTTCGGCAGAAAGATGTTGACCGCGCCTCAAGCCAATGCCACATATGACAAATCGCCTGGACAGGCCGTTGCGATAGCCGTAGAACGCAATCATGATTCCATGAACACATCGGTGGCCCCCTGTCGCAGAGCCCAGCCGAATGAGCCGGCATGCGCCAAGGTGGCTAAACAAATCTTGGCGATGATACCACTCACCTCGCTTGCGTCCCCCTGTGCCCTGAGCACGACCGGCACGGATAGCAAGTTTGCGTACCGATGTGCCCTGAGCACCACCGTCACGGATAGAAGCCGCCCTCAGGGACCACCCCCATGCGCGCCCCATTGTGGTGTCGAAGAAACGCCAGGCTTGCGGTGCCCTGACCGTCACGCATAGCGGCCGCCCTCAGGGACCACCCCGTGCACACCCCCTGTGGTGTCGAGAAAACGCCACGCCTGCTGTTCCCTGGACGACCGTCACGGATAGCGGCCGCGGTCAGTGACCACCCCGTGCGCACCCCCAGAGGTGTCGAGAAAACGCCACGCTTGCTAGGGCAAGGGCGACCGTCACAGATAGCGGCCGCGCTCAGGGACCACCCCGTGCGCACCACTTGTGGTGTCGAGAAAACGCCACGCCTGCCGTGCCCTGGACAACCGTCACGGATAGCGGCCGCGCTCAGGGACCACCCCCTGCGCACCCCCTGTGGTGTCGAGAAAACGCCACGCCTGCTGTGCCCTGGACGACGGTCACGGATAGCGACCGCGCTCAGGGACCACCCCGTGCGCACCCCCGGTGGTGTCGAGAATACGCCACGCCTGTTAGGGCAAGGGCGACCGTCACGGATAGTGGCCGCGCTCAGGGACCACCCCGTGCGCACCCTTTGTAGTGTCGAGAAAACGCCACGCTTGACGTGCCTTGGACGACCGTCACGGATAGCGGCCGCGCTCAGGGACCACCCCGTGCGCACCACCTTTTTGTGTCGAGAAAACGCCACGTTTGACGTGCCCTGGACGACCGTCACGGATAGCGGCCGCGCTCAGGGACCACCCCGTGCGCACCACCTTTATGGTATCGAGATAACGCAACGCCTGCTGTGTCTTGCACGACCGTCACGCATAGCGGCCGCCCTCAGGGACCACCACGTGCACACCCCCAATGGTGTCGAGAAAACGCCACGCCTGCTGTGCCCTGGACGGCCGTCACGGATAGCGGCCTCCCTCAGGTACCACCCTTCTGCGCACCTCTTGTTGGCGCGCATGAGGTGCGTGGTGTGCGTGTCATGTGTTTATGTGTGTGTTGCGTGTTTGTGTGTGTGTGTGTGCGTTGTGCTGCACAGTGCTGTGCAGTGCTGTGTTGTGCTGAGCTGAGCTGTGCTGTGCTGTGTTCTGCTGTGCTGTGCTGTGATGTGTTGTGGTGAGGTGCTGTGGTGAGGTGCTGTGGTGAGGTGCTGTGCTGTGCAATGCTGTGCTGAGCTGAGCTGAGCCGAGCTGTGCTGAGCTGAGCTGAGTTGTGCTGAGCAGTACTTTGCTTTGCTGAGCTGTGTACGTGTTGTTCGTGAATGTGCTGAGTGCTGAGCTGTGCTGCGCTGCGCTGCGCTGAGCTGTGCTGCGGTGTGCTGTGTGAGAAGGAGAAGGTGGAGGAGGGGTGAAGAGGAGACGCGGGTGCGACACAGGATGGAAGAACCAGAACCCCACTAAGCATGTGGGGAAAAACTTCCTCCTCCTCCTCCTCCTCCTCCTCCTCATCATCATCATCATCCTCATCATCATCATCATCATCATCATCATCTTTCTCCTCCTCCTCCTCCTTCTCCTCCTCCTCCTCCTCCTCCTCCTCCTCCTCCTCCTCCTCCTCCTCCTCCTCCTCCTAGGCTGGCAGGCACACGTGGCACATGCACAGTCCCGATATTGTACCTGCCCCCAGGTCCGTGCTCGTCTCCCCCGAGGCGCGTGGCCGCTCACATTTACCTTCGCTTCGATCACGTTCTCCTGCGCGGCACCGCGCACTGCGCCGACGGCGCTCGGCGGCTCGCAGGTTTCTGAGGATTCAGCAGGCGAAGGACGTTCTGAATCAGCATCACGGGTGTCTGACACCTACGATGGGAGGCGGTGGCTCCGCTACCTCGCAGAAGAGATCGACCATCCAAAAGGCGTTCAGGAGCTTTGCTGG